ACCCTAAATAACACCGAGTGGGTGGTGGGGGGGGGGGGGGGGCGGGCCTTTAACAATCATAGCTTCGTATATTTTTTTAAAATCCCGAATAGTAATAGCGTTTTTAATCATGGGCCTATCTCGGTAGGGGTTAACTCTTACAAAATTTTACTGGTAAATTTTATTGGAAATTGCGTTTGAATGAATTCAATATAAAAATTACACCGGTAAAATAACATTTCACGGTGCCATAATTTCTTGACCCAAGCATTTTTAGCTCATAAGTTTGGGCATGGATTGTTTGTCCCCTGAACGCCAAAATTATTTCTGAAACATCCCTTTCACTTTCTGCTTTACTGATGACGGAATATATTATTTTTTATACAGGGGTTGAATAGAATCATAATTGCGAAATTCAGCTTTAGGATAAATATGTTATTTAATATTTTATTGAGGGAAATAAACTTTTCTGATTGTTTTGGTACAGAGCAAGATGGAGGGGAGCTCGCAGTATTAGATACGTCACAGAGTTGCAAATAATGGGTTTGATTCCTCGCAAACTAAAAAATTCATAACTTTCTTATTTTAATCGGAATTTGCTCTAACTTTTACTGACCCGTTGCTCTCATTTTATTAAAACCAACTTAATGTCGGGATGGACTATTTCTCCTTTATTCACTTTTCGTATTTCACATATGTCAACGAAATATTGGGTCCCTTAAAGGGACTTAGTAACATTGTTCAGAGGAGAGAAAATGGTGCTAAGGTAGTGACTTCAATGCTAGATGTACAATTAAAGATAATCTGAATGTTTAAGTGAAAACGGACCATTATTAACGATAGAAATTGGGGAAAATGATCTGATCGATTCCTTAATTCTCCTAAATTTATTATTACAATTAAATTACATTTTAGGTGAATGTAAATCGTCACAAAGCACTGAATCGGCTTTACATACCATTCCAGACATTTCAGTGTTGAAAGATTTTTATAGCCTGTCTTATGTCTTATTTTTATGGAAAAACGGTTGAAAAAATTCAAAAGTGGTTGGGAGAATTTACTATTAATCACTGTTAGATTTGGTTCAGATGAACATATTGGAAGCAAATGTTATTTTAGAATATTCTATGATCGTTAATTGTCGAGGTTCAAAGTGATAAAATTGTAAATAATGTATAGGCCTATTATCACTGGTCGGGTGAAAACTCTTTGTGATGTATAGCTCCCTCTCAAAACTTATATTACTTTAGCTTTAAATATGTTTCTTGACTTCAATCGACTGATTTGCTATTCCCGTTTAGAAATTATGTATCAGAACTACATTATTCTAAGATTTTCATTATAGCAGCTACCATGGAGTGGCCTTAGGCGCTATTTGAAATATTTGAAATTTACCGGGAGCACCGGTAAATTTTGACTATTCATTTTGCTCGAAAGCAGATATGTTTTAGGGGCTAATTTCTCTAGTGCTTATAATACATCCACAGGGATCGACATTTTAAAGAATGACTATCTATCCAATTTTCAAAATTTCCCAAAATTTTGCATTACACTATTATAGATCAGATAAAGCGTGTTCTAGCTTGTAAAGTACTTAAAACATGACAACGTGATAACGCGATTACGTGAAGCAGTCCATGCTCTAACGTAGGCCTATAAACAAAAAATAACCACCATAAAATATATTTTTTTTGAAAAATGGCACGAGGGTTGTAAAACAGAAGGCATCTGTTGAAAGAACTCCGTGTTCCATGCACGTTTACCAGATTAATGTAGTGACCTCGAGGGGCATATCTAACTACCCATGTGGGCATGTGCTCGGCCATTAAATAGGAAATTAAACCAAAAAACACAAGCTGTATTAAAACATACCGTGTAAAGCAAATGGAAACAAATTAAAAACATATATTAAGGCAGTTCAGAATATTTGAAGGTGCGATCAATCAAACACAAATTGGCAACAAAAGTGACGTATTTTGCGAAGGCGCCTCACATATTTTCAATCATACGTTCACCCTAAATATACTATTGCATGTTTTTGTTTTTATACAACCCTGTATGTAACAAAGATATTTTGTCATCAATAACTTAAAAATGAACTTTAATGAAAGTTTCTGTAACGAATTGGAGATGAGCTCTAAAAGTATGTCACAGTGTGTTATCAGTTTTAGTTAATTTCACATGTGACAACTTCAAAAATTCATAACTTTCCTATTTTTGATCAATTTCACTAAATGTTATCACTGCCTGGGTTGGATTTGAACACACGACACGATCCTTGGTTTGAAAGGCATGTAGGCCTATATTATATGATGTACAGTATATATAATGATATTACATGTATATTATCATGGTGAAAAGTAATTATACAGAATCAATATGCACATTTATCACTTTGTTTTAGTGTGATTTCCCCCAAAACAACCAATATGCGGTTGTTTACAGAAACGTGGACAAATATATGCCCCCTCGATCGTCATTGCTCCGTCTAACTGAAATATTTATGTCCATGGTAGATCACACTGATTCATTAACAAAAAAAAATCATGCATGGTGACATGTTGAAAGTTGATAGGTTCAAACAGTATTGTGTATCAACTATCTCAGTCTATCTCTTTCTGCTTTATCTCATTCCCCTCCCCCCCCCCCCCCCCCCTCGCACGCGCGCTCTCTCTCTCTCCCTCTCTCTTTCTCTCACGTATATGTGCGCTGGCCGCCAGACAAAATTAGCAGTTTCGAAGAATTTGTTGGCCTAATATTCGGGGAAAAACTAATCTGAGGAAGCCAAGGTTTAAACTTGACGTACATTTTAGGTATTATGCTCCCTGAGTAACCTGGAAACGGTGCTTGCGTGCATGGTTAGCTTGAACATTTCGATCATGCCTATTACTAATAATCAGCTCTCTCCTGTTAGTCTGCAGGTACAGACTCGACTCATGCTCTGTCAGTCTCTGGCTGTGCCAGCCTATATTGGGTGCAGTGTAGTTCAGACCAGGGTCCATGCACTATAAAACAAGAGAGCCGATAAGGGTCTGTGCATGTAAAATACATATATTCTATGTTCGCTCCTCAAAATGATCATGGATCCATGAACTGTATAGTTGCACATAATTATACTGATATATTAACAAACATGCAGGGGCGCACGCAGAATTTGTTCAAGGGGGGGGGGGGGGGGGTTAAAATGTGAAAATCGCGCCGCTGAATAAGCGAGGGGGGGGGGGGGTCATCCAAAACACACACACATAAACAAAATTGAGGGGGTTCGACCCCCTACCCCCCCCCCCCCCCCCCCTCTGTGTACGCGCCTGCATACATGCATACAGGTATCCTATACATACATGTATGCGATAAATTGATGGAGCACGGCCTTCCAAAGCTTCCATTCGTCACATACACAGTAACTAGTAATCCGAATCCTACGATATGCAATATAGTTCAGAATTTTTGATGGCTGAATTTGTATGACTTAACATTTATTTATAATTAATTGACACGATTCGTTCCTGCATGATCTACCAGCAGGATATATTACATCACCAAAATAAAGCAAGATTACACGAGACTTATAATGTTCAACTTGTGTACGTTTTGTGAAAGGGAAAAGGGTATGCATGCAAGGGATTGATGCATCCATTCCACCTCCCTGATCTAACCAGGGAAGTGTCTTATACCTCTCTGATCTAACGTACTAGATGCTTGCAGTGGATGCTACACTGGATGCAATAGATGATATTCTGGTAGACAGGCCAGCCCTACTGTTATAAAATGCTCACACCATACCTTGCCGTGTAAACAATATTAACCCTAAAAAGACCGGGCTATTTGAGGTATTAGTACGGCCGGGGGGGGGGGCATTATGGCCCCCCTTAAGATCTCGGCCGCAAAGCGGCCGATCGCCGCGAAAATTTGCACGCATGTCAAGTGAAGTGTATAGAATAATATGATTATTTCATTATTTTGACAAATTCACTCATTTACATATTAATGGTAATTTATGCTAATAAAGTCATACAAATCACATTTTTTTACCCATAAATCATATATTATTTATATTTAAGCATTCTTTTTCACTACATATATTCATTAGACCATTCTGAATAATAATACGACAATTTTGTTTGGAAGAGCCAGATTATTCCTTATGTTTTCCCTTGTTTTAATAATTTCTTATGTATTGTTTTTTTTAACTGATGTATTTCATTGTTTTTGTTGTTTCATTTCATTTCTTACTACAATTCAACTATTTTGACTCCCAAAACAACCACCTAAACTTTAAACAAGACCCAATAACCCATGTTTGATCTGTTTTTAGGAAAAATGACCTTTCCATATGTCTTGTACACAAATCACGAAAATGAGCGATTTTCGGACTGACATGCAAAGACAAAAGGTCACGTGACCTTGTAACCGTAGGTCCGATTTTCCAAAAAAAATATTTTAAAAGTTGCGCAAGACTCGAAAGAAAAAAGTCAGCGAGCGGCGGGGCGCCATCCATATGCGTTCCCAAGCAATCGGAAAAAATCATGGAGGGGGGGGGGGGGGGGGGGGGGGGGGGGGGGGGGGGGGGGAGGGCATAATGCCCCCCGGCCTTATTAGGGTTAAAATGTGGTGTATGGGTGACCGCATGATCAGCATTCACTACTTACCTAGGCCTATCAAAGGCGACTTTAGATATTTTTTCCAACCAGAAAAAAATGATAGGGCCTCAAGTTTGTAGATTTCGCCAGCAGTGATCCTTTTCAGGACATGAATTATGCATGTGGCGTCTCTTTTACGTTTCTCGCGATGGTTGGGATCAAACACAAAATATGTAATCATGATGATTATAAATTCTTTCTATAATTCAATTCAATTTAATTCATATTTATTTCATTTCCAACAAAGATATTCCAAAACAAAGATATTCCTTTTTTTTTTCATACATAATTCATTTTTTCTGGTAACTATATACAAATACACTTTGCACATAATAAAATTATTACTAAACATATTCTTAATTTTCCGATGCAGACTATATTTCCAACAGGAAAAACAAATCCTTTTAAGGCTTCAGAATGTAAATAACCAGTATGTAATGCCTTTTTTGTCATGGTATATCACTATAATGACGTATAACCTTTGGTACCGTGAAATTGTATAGACGCGATTCTGGCTAATCCGAACAAAAGTGTTGTGCTGTCAGTTTGCGCTGCTACACAGCCTACAGTACTCTCACTACACTGTACTGCATGCTTATTGTTATTATTTTGTCAACAGTGTTCATGCTGCGTGTACTGTACAGTCATTATACATATCGAGAAGAACTGGGATTTCTAAGCTTTACAAGTACTTGATCACCGTTTACTGTCAGGTAAGTCAGACAATGTCATACATTACATGGTTTTAGAATTGTTTATGTTAAATGGATGATGACTGCTGGAAGTCATCACGAGAAAATACCGTGTTAACATTGGTTAACGCGTCGACACTGCAAAAAGATACGAACTACTTGTATTTTACACTGTAATATATACAATACTATACTGTCGACTATGTGACAGTGATTCTATAGGTGTTATTTTATGTGACACAAGAGCCTTCATCTCCATTGCTTTTTATTCACGAAACTATTGTCTTGTATTACCCATGCACATCATGTACATTGTAGTAATCTACTATGTGTAGTACTAGTAGTGCAGTGCATGTGCTTGTTGTATGATTCTGGACGTGTGGCTTGTAACGGAACATTGAGATCAATGCAGGCATATGCTCTTGTCTTTGTTATTGTTTGGTACTACAACCATTGACCCTAAGTCCCTAACCAACCATCACTCATCATACACTATTATATTGCCAGGTGTATATCAGGGTATATTGTACATACCTTATATAAAGATATAAATATATATTATAAACAACAGTATAATCTTGAACTTTTTTTGTTCATGATGATGATATGTGCCCGTTGTTGTTGAGACCTAAAGATGAGCTTTGATAACGTGTGAAAAGGGAAGTGAATTTCATCTTGACCGTTTTGCAAATGAAAATAATGTCTAACAGACGTGAAATTTGATTTCACATTTTTTAAAACCAAATATATAATGTTGATACATACAATATACATGAGTTATCAATACGAGGTATATACCAGTCCACTTAGAATCAGACGGTCTCCATCAGTTACCTTCAGAAAGGCCTTAGAAACAGGTTTTTTTTGCAGTTTGTAGTTGTACGCCTGTTTTTTCTAATTATATGTACACTGTCGCTCATAAAGTTGGAATATTTTTGTTTTTCCCCAATTTATGGAATTATTTTAAAAATAATTTTAAAATAATGGATCTAGATAATAGTATACATTCTCAGAATTTATTGAACAATAATTTGACAATGTGTGTTTTGCGTGACTGCTAAAGCATGTGTATGCTTCTGCATATCAACTAGGGAACCTATACGCACTTATAAGTCATAAATGACAGTAAAGAGGATTAATGCCCCACAAAAGGGCACTAATATGAGTTTGAGTTTATCAACAACAAAAATAATAACAAGTAAAACATAATGTATCAAGCATGACATTACATAAAATATAACAATATAACACAAGATCGATAACATTACACATGAATAATATAAATATTGTTTTACAAAGTATGTCGTATACAAATGGAATAAAATGTTATGTGTACACTTTTGTTGTTAAAGGGGGTACAAGAAGTTAGCACAAGTGCTAGTCGAGTCTGGTTCCCTGTCTTTGGCAAGAATTTTAAAACTATTTTTTTTTTTTTTTTTTTTTATTTTTTTATTTTTACTATACTACATTATATACATGTAACATAAACTATATAAGTAAACAAAGAAATAGAATAGTCCTTTAGAAGTATTCCTTACTTAATATACATGGAAGTCAAATGTGTGTTGACTTCCGTTAGTTCCGTATCAATACCAAACATACAGTAAATAAAAAATATATCATTATCTAGTGATCTTTTTAGAAATTTTCTAATCTGAGATTTCTTTTTGCCATTTTAAGAAGTCTTAACTTTTGTTTAACTCAAAGTATTTAGATGTTTCGTTAACCCCTTCCGAAAAGCATTTTTAGATCGTATTCCTCTTAAATCGTATGGTATACTATTCCATATTTTCACGCCCATAAATGATATTGAAAATTGACCTTGTGTGGTTTTGCATTTAGGCAGATATAGTTGTCTTTGTTCTTTGCCCCTTGTGCCATATCTGTGCTCTATTACCTGACAGTATTCAATTAAGGAGTGAGGAAGATTGCCATTTAATAAGTCATAGATGAAGGTTGAGACAGATAGGAAATGAAGGTTGTAAATATTTAAAACTTTTATCTTTTGGAACAAGGGTTCCGAATGGGTACCTCTTGGGCTAAAAGTTATCGCTCTCATTGCCATTTTCTGGGTAAGGAAAATACAATTCAAGTTGGTTTTGTATGTGTTCCCCATACTTCAATTCCATACAAAATATGTGGCTGGATTAACGCTTTGTATAATAGCACTAAAATGTTCTGTGGGACATAATGCCTTTTTCAGGTGGCTGTCCAGACAAACCCTCTAGGGTTTTTATACAGCAACCTAATTCCTATTTGTTTGTTTTTACTGTCAATATTGTACTATGTTAATCATATTTATGTAAAAGTAATATTTTGATGTCATCGTTTTTGTTTTTTTTTACTATGGAATTAAATAAATACTGAACTGAACTGAACTGAACATAATGCCTTATTCTGAACAAAATTCCGACTTTTGAACGAATATTTCGATTTACCATTTTTATATGTTCAATCCATGTGAGATGCTTATCAATTTGTAGTCCTACAAAAGATGCCTTATCTACTTCAAGTAATTTAGATCCAGATATTTCAAGAGCACCTTTTACTTGGACAGATCTCCTTTTGCCCTTTATTATCATATAATTTGATTTGCTTAGATTAATTGTGACTTTGTTGGCATAACACCATAGCACATCGACACGGTTTTGATCCTTGGGCCTCACAGTTACGAGGCCATTGCTTTGTCACTGAACCATGACTGTACGCAGCGGGGGTCTAGGGTAGGGGGCAGTTTCCATAAATAAAAAATAATTAAAAAATGCAATAAATTTTCAATAATTTATTGCATTTTACCCCGGTTCCCAACATAAAAAAATCTTCTGTGTGCCCATGCCTTGAGCCATAATGCATGGCCGTCCAGAGGATTTGTTTATTTTGGGGACCGGGGTAAAATGCATTTTCTGTGATTATTTTATTTTTTGGAAACTGCCCCCTACCCTAGACCCCCGCTGCGTACAGTCATGGTTCAGTGGCAAAGCAATGGCCTCGTAACTGTGAGGCCCCAGGATCAAAACCGTGTCGATATGCTATATTAGTGCCCTTTTGTGGGGCATTAATCCTCATTACCAGTGGCGTAGACAGGTTCGTACACCTGGGGGGGATGACTGGGCTGTCAACGCTAGTGAGGGCGCGAAGCGCCCGAGCGAGGGAGCGAAGCGACCGAGCGGGGGGAGGGTGTGGGAGGGGGTGTCCCCCTCGCACGGTAGGGAGCTTTTGCAATTTTGAACTTGAAATCGTGCAATCTGATGCATACTTAATGAGGTAAAATAACACACATAAGCGTGCACACACACACACACATACTCACACACACACACACACACACACACACTGACACATAGTATTGCATATTGAACCACACTACGTATTTATTTATCTCTGTGAATTTTGCTGTTACACCTCTTCAGAAAAAAAACCAATGTCAACTGTGTACACGCAGGTATAGTCTTTGTTGTCTTGATAGGGGTATGTGGTTATGAATGAAAACAGCCTCTGTGGCCATTTGTGAATAGAACACATAAACAACAAACAAATAACGATTAAACTTTGAACAATATGTCTGTTCATTATAAAGCATAATGAGTACGTACATACTATGCTTTTTTTACCTCAAAGAAACAGGCATAGTATCCATAGATGGATATTGGCTGGCGGCTCATTAACATACAGATACAAAAAACATAAACAGTATCACTATGATACTGCTTTGTAAGTTTGTGAAGAAATCGGAACCATAACGGCATTGCATGATCGTTTCAAATTAGGGCATTATTTACTTCTATTTGATCTCAGTCTTATAATAGTAATAGTAATAATAATAATAATAATAATAATAATGATAATAATAATAATAATAATAATACAAATAAAAAATAATACAAATACAAATAATAATGCTTATACTAATAGGTTCCTTTTATCTCGCATTTCAAGACAGGGTAAATTCACACTGCGCTTTACATGAAACAAACTTCTTTAAACATTTCAAACTTATGTCTTCATGCATCAATCAACATACTTTAAATGAATACAAAACAAAGTGCATCTTAAATAAAACAAAAATAAATAAATAGTTAACAATACAGAAAAGATGTAGCTGCTGCAAGCTTAACAACAAACTAATGTATACCAGTCAGTCCTGATATCAGTATTTAGTGTAACAATAGTCATATAGTGGGAGCATGAAGTTGAACAATTCATGATTATACATAATTATATATGTTTGTTTGAATAATACTTGTTATAAAGATAGTAGTATGGTACTCTCTGTCACGAATTATTATGTATACTGTTGTATCACATTCATTTTCTATTCTGTTTTAGAATTGGCTTTCACCGTGTGAATGCGGCTAACAATAAACACAATTACAATAATGATGAGGATTATTATTATCATCATCATAATTATTATTATTATTAATATCATAATTGTTATCATTATTATTATTACTATTATTATCATCATTATGACTTATTAAGAAAGCAAATATCATTCCCCAAAACCTGGGGGATGATTGTACATGCCATCCCCCCCCCACACCTTGTGAGGTGGGGGGGGGGGGATGCATCCCCCTCATCCCCCGTTGTCTACGCCCCTGCTCATTACTGTCATTAATGACTTAAGTGCGTGGGTCCCCTAGTTGATAAGCATATATAGTAGCATACACATGCTTTAGCAGTCACGCAAAACGCACATTAGCAAATTATTATTTAATACAATCTGAGAATGTATACTATTATGTAAATCTATTATTTTTAAATTATTTTAAAAATAATTCCATAAATTGGGGTAAAACAAAAATATTCCAACTTTATGAGCGACAGTGTATTTATGTAATTTTTATTTTCATTCACTGTAAGCGCTTTGGGCCTTTTGGGAAAAGCGCGGTATAAGTAATAATAATAATATATAATATTATACATGTACTTTATTGTTCACGTATTGGCTTGTGTTAGACTGAAATGCCGAGTCGAAAGTTCGGTTTATAAACATTTTATGGCTTATTGTTATTGGCCTT